ATGGATCCAGACCTCTCCATGGATGGATCCAAACCTCTCCATGTATGGATCCACCTGTCTCCAGCTATGGTTCCACCCTTTTCCATGGATGGATCCAGACCTCTCCATGGATGGATCCAAACCTCTCCATGTATGGATCCACCTGTCTCCAGCTATGGTTCCACCCTTTTCCATGGATGGATCCAGACCTCTCCATGGATGGATCCAAACCTCTCCATGTATGGATCCACCTGTCTCCAGCTATGGTTCCACCCTTTTCCATGGATGGATCTAGACCTCTCCATGGATGGATCCACACCTCTCCATGGATGGATCCACCTGTCTCCAACTATGGATCCATCCCTCTCCATGGATGGATCCACCCCTCTCCATGGATGGATCCAAACCTCTCCATGGGCAGATCCATTTTTTTGGAAGGCACGTCCCCACTGGGCTCGAGAACTGCTTGAAGACCTCATTTTTCTTTGGATCTCTTGGATGCTCCCGTGACAGTATGGACATGTAGAGACCTAAGAGTGGGGAGCACCTTGGAAACCCTGGAAAGGGAATTAAAAACTCCAGCAGCTGCACAACTCAGCTGGGAAAAAGGAACCCCAGCAGGGATGAGGAACATCCCCTTTCCCACTCGCGTCCTTTGCGCCGGGAATTCCCAAATCCTCGGCGCGTTCCCGGTTTTCCATGGGCTCTGTCTGTGCTTTGCAGGTGGCTGGTGGGGCACGAGGAGAACAAGCAGAAGACAGACGTGCACTACAGGTCCATGGGGGGAGAGGGCAACTTCAACTGGAGGTTCGTCTTCCCCTTCGATTACCTGCCGGCCGAGCAGATGTGCCACGTGGCGAAGAAGGTGAGCGGCCTGCAGGGAGGAACTCCTGCCTCCTCCTGGGAATTCTGGGGTGGAATTGGCGTCTGGGACCTTCGCAGCCGGAGCTGTGCGAGGCTCAGCTTTGCCATGGTGTTGTTTGAACTGGGAGATGGGTGTGAAGGATCCGCGTTGGTGGGGTCAGGATTAGAGGTGGGTTTGTGGGAGGGGTTCGGAGAGGTGGATCCGCCCGGGAAAGACCCCTCTGGGCTGGGCAAGGATGGATGTTGGTGCTGTGGTGGCCAAGTGCTCTCCAGGTGAACTTCCAAGGTGGCTTGGTTGGTCTGGAGAGGGCGTTCCCATGGGGATGGTTGGGTGGGAACCTCTGGCCTCCCCCATGGAATCGTGGGTGTCTTCCTGTGCAAGAACTTCCCAGACGGGCTAAAGAGGAGGGAAAGGAAGGAGCTGCCTCCAAATTCCTGAGGGGATCACTGGTTGGGATGTACCACTGAGGGGAAGAAAAGCTTTGGTTTGGGGTTCAGGGAGAAGATTGGTCTAATAGGGAGTTCCTCTCTTGGGAAGGTACAAATGGATGTGATTCCTCCACCTCTCATTGCTCCTGGTGCTCCTTGGATCACTTGGTGCAACGGGATGATCGAATGTGGGAATTTCATGGAGGAAGGAAACAGGGATTGGATTGGGGTGTGTGGGATAATGCCAGTGAAAGCAGTGGAAGTTATGGAAATAATGGAAATTAGGGAAAATCGGACACAGAAGGCTGCAGGGGAAGGAGATCTGTTCCCTTAAATTTCCTGCTCCTCACCTGGAGATCAGGAGGATTAAAGGAGTAAGAGGAGTGGGATTCTAGTGGAATGTGCTGATCCCATGGCAGGGGGTTGGAGTTGGATGATCTTTAAGGTCCCTTCCAACCCAAAGCATTCCGTGAGGCATTCCGGGATTGTTGGGGTGTGTGGGCAGCAGGGACAGTCCTGCTTGCCCAGACTTGGTCCTGCTTGTCACACCTCCGTGGAGGCTCCAACTCCAACCACCTACCCCTGAGCCTTCATCCCATGAGGAAGGCGTGATTCCATCCCATCAGGAGGAATTTCCTCCTGGAAAGGGTGGTCAGGCCTTGGCAGGGGCTGCCCAGGGAGGTTTGGAGTGCCCAGCCCTGGAGGTGTCCCAGGAAGGCCTGGC